CCTATATAATCCCAGCTACTTGGGAGGCTGAGGCAAGAGAATCACTTAAGCCCAAGAGTTTGAAGCTGCTGTGAGGTGTGATGCCACAGCACTCTACCAAGGGTGACATAGTGAAACTCTGTCTCCAAAAAAAAAAAGAATTTTGACTTCACAGACCCGGGGAAAGGGTCACTGGACCAAACTGTGAGACACTTCTTGGAAAACTAGTGTTTAGAGATGATGACGTGTTTGCTCAGGACAGAGCTGGAATTGAAACCTGGACTTGTTTGACACCAGTGCCTCTTTGGCTTTCCTGTGCGTGTGTCCCTTAACGGCGCACGTTTCCATAGCTCCCATTTTTGTGTCTCAGTGTGTTTTGTCTTGCTGTCGCAGCATGTGTGAGGCTGGGTAGTTTATAAAGAAAAGAATTTCTTTAGATCTTGGTAACAGGATGGGAAGCATGGCGCTAGTGGCTGTCTGCCCGTGTGTTGGGAAGTGGAAGGGGAGCGATGTGTGAGAGATCACCTGGTGAGGAAGGTTGGGCACTAACCTATTCATGGGGGCTCTGCCCTTATGGCCCAGACCCCTCCCATAAGGCCCCACTTCCCGGCACTGCTACGTTGAGGATTCACTTTCAACATGATTTTTGGTGGGGAGAGACCACATCCCAGCATAACAGTGTGTGTTGCTGGGATTAAATGTCCATAGATACAGTTACCCTGTTTCTCTTTCCCTAAATCTAATTCTTAGGTGTGGACATTGCAAGCAGTTTGCTCCAGAATATGAAAAAATTGCTGGTGTCTTAAAGGATAATGATCCTCCCATTGCTGTTGCCAAGATCGATGCGACCTCGGCATCCATGCTGGCCAGCAGGTTTGATGTGAGTGGGTATCCCACCATTAAGATCCTGAAGAAGGGGCAGGCTGTTGACTACGAGGGCTCCAGGACCCAGGAAGGTGAGCTGGTGCTTGAGTTGTTGGGGGAAGCTTTCAACCAGGACACCTTCTTCTCCAGGAACAGAAAGTGGGGAGTGGGATTGGGAAAATGAAAATGAAGACAGGTAGAGTGGACCAGAGACTGCCTGCCATAGAAGTACCAGCTGTTGGCTAGATGTTCAGGCTAACAGATCTAAATTAAAATTGTCCTCAGATGAAGGACAGCGCTAAGAAATGACATCAGAGGCCAAGGTTTTTCGAGATGTTGTAGAGCAGTGGTTCCCAATATTTAGTGTACATCGGAGTCACATAGGTGCTCATTCAGATTGCTGTGCCCCAGCCTGAGTTTCTGATTCAAATGATGTGCATTTCTTGCCAGGGCTGCTGGTACAGAGCCACAGTCCAGGGAGTCTGCAGTCTGGCCTGAAGGGTTCCTGCTGGGCTCACATTCGGCATTGTGTAAATTTTTATTATTAAATGAATAAATAAAATTGTGGTGGTCTTTAGCTAGGGTACCTCTCTTTTAATCATTAAAAAAAATGATGCTGCATGTTCCGTTCCCAGTGTGGGAAAGTGGAAAGAGCATTGACCAGGGTTTAGATCTTTATAGCCATAAAATAGGATGTGCCTGGGTGGCGCCTGTGGCTCAAGGAGTAGGGTGCTAGCCCCATATACCGAGGTTGGTGGGTTCAAGCCTGGCCCCGGCCAAGATAGCAAAAAAAAAAAAAAAATGGGAATGTGCCCCAGACAAGTGCCTTCCCCTTGCTGGCCTCACCCTCTCATCTGTGGACCATAAAGTAACTGGGGGTGGTCTCAGAGCTCTCTCATGTTGGTATGAGAGGCGCCTTCTGCTCCCTTCAGCAGTGGGACCCCTGTGTGGGGCAATGGGTGCTGCTGTCGCTCTTCACTTTCACAGTGTACCTGCCTGTGGACTTGGGGTTATGTTTTGTAATCAAAGACATAGATGAATAAATAGGTTTTCTACCCTGAACCTGCTGGACCCAGTTCCCTTTTAGAGAGGCAGCTGGTGTAACAAGTTTCTAATGTATTCTTCAGAGATATTTTGTATACATAAAAGCAAATGTGTGTGTGCACTTCTCTCATTTTTACAGTTGTTAGCACATCTTAAAATACCATCCTGCACTTTCATGTATTTAACAAATGTCTTAGCCATATCAGTGAGTAAAGAACTGAATCTAAGAACAAATTGCAGATCTCGTACTTCTATTGTTTAGAAGTAAGTAGGCAAACATATTTAGAGATTTGTGACCAGTGTCTGACTGTGAGGGATATGGCCCACACTGGAACCTTTAAACTAGAACATCCTGTCTGTTAGTAATGGGCCTCCTGGTGTCACCTGGCCCAGTCCCTGGGGGCGTGGCCAGGGCAAGCACTTGGGCTGTGACTGGTGTGCAGGTGCTTCTCTGTGCGGGCTTCATTTTGAGGACTGCTGCTCTGAGCAATTCTCCAAAAAAAAAAAATTCTCAAACAAAAAAGTGAGAATTTTGTAACTACTGGTCCTAAGAAGCACTCAGCAAGATTTTTATGACACTAGATCCATTTGTCCACTCCAGTCATTGACTCGATTTCTGGGAAATGAGGCCACAGAGAAGCATTTTTTTTTTCTTTTTTTGAGACAGTCTCTCTATGTTGCCCTCCCTAGAGTGCTGTAGCATCACAGCTCATAGCAACCTCAAACTCTTGGGCTTAAACAATTTTCTTGACTCAGCCTCCCAAGTAGCTGGGACTACAGGTGCCTGCCACATTGCCCAGCTACTTTTTTGTTCTTGTTGTTTCAGTTGTCACTGTTGTTTAGTAGACCTGGGCTGGGCTCAAACCCTCCAGCCTCAGTGGATGTGGCTGGTGCCCTGCTCACTGAGCTATGGGCACGAGACAAGAGAAGCTTTTTTTTTTTTTTGAGACAGAGCCTCAAGCTATTCCCCTGGGTAGAGTGCCATGGCATTGCAGCTCAAAGCAACCTCCAACTCCTGGGCTCAAGCAGGTCTCCTGCCTCAGCCTCCCGAGTAGCTGGAACCACAGGTGCCTGCCACAATGCCTGGCTATTTTTTATATTGGTTGCAGCCGTCATTGTTGTTTGGTGGGCCCAGGCTGGATTCGAACCCACCACCTTAGATGTATGTGGCTGGCGCTTTAGCCACTTAATCCACAGGCGCCGAGCCAAGATGAGCATTTTTGAAAAGCCTTGCCTGGCATTGTCACCACAGGTTAGCAGGAGGAACTGCTATGCCTATCTTGTGACTTGACCTTTGTGTATTACCCCATCATAATGCTAGTTCTAGGCATGTATGACTAAGCACATATATGTTTTGTACACGTTAAGGCCGTGCCCCAAAATTATATTTATAGGGATATATGAGCAAAACCCCTGGGAGATACTGGCCCAGGTCCTAACCTGCAGTTAGTACCGTAGTTGGGCAGTAGAGGAAATCTCACTCCTCTGGTAGGTCTCAGGCCATCTGGAGAAGGCCGCAGGCCAGGCGTGTGCTAGTAGAATATAGAGGTGGCCTGGGCTAGAGATGTTTTGGGTTTCAGAAAGTCAGAGATTCCCCACTTTTTTCGCCCTTCCCACTCTGCTTCTGGAAGGAGGTGAGGTACCTACCTGCTCAGGGCGTCTATGTTCTATCTTGTTGGTTTTCTTTCAGAAATTGTTGCGAAGGTCAGAGAGGTCTCCCAGCCCAACTGGACACCTCCACCAGAAGTCACGCTTGTGTTGACCAAAGAGAACTTCGATGAAGTTGTAAATGATGCGGATATCATTCTGGTGGAGTTTTATGCCCCGTGGTAAGGTGTTACTGGTTTTGTATTACCAGGATATAGATCAGGCCCTTCCTGCATTTGGCGCCCTGCTTGCTTCCCTGCTGCTGTGCAGAGAGCAGGGGAGCAAGATGGGCACATGTTGCAGGGTAAGGTTGAGGCCCAGGTCCCTGGGGGAAAGTGGTCACAAGGGACTGTTGGAGGAGATGTAGATGGAGCCGCCAGGCAGTCCTTTCTTTGGTGGGAGGAGGGACCCTAAGAGAAGATGACACCAGAAAGAAGGGTAGGCAGAGTGGGAGCCAGTGCAGATGGCTGTTCTGTGTGTGAGGAGCTGAGGTGGCTGCTTTTCAGGGTAAGGAGGGTGATGGGACACGTGTGTGGACGAGCAGTAGCAGGAGAGTCAGAGTAGCGGGAGCAAAGTGCAAGAAAGACCGTTTTTCAGGGAGAGGTGAGCCTCACTCGTAGAGGGCGTGACCCTTCCCAGGAAAGACCTGAGGTGCCATTTGTCTAGGTGCTTTCATTCTGATTGCGGGCTTGAGAATTTGGCAGGGTGTGCTATGTAGACCAGTATGGAAGCCAAGCAACTAGGAATGTGACTGTCAGGCCAACATAAGTGGCCTGAGGTGAGTGTGTTCAGTAGACCAGCCGCAGGAGTCAGGGAAGCTTATGGCCCTCAAATCAGTAATCAGAGGCTATGGCTGATGCGCAGCAGGGCCAGGTTTGGGGCCAGGACATCCTTGCTCCAGCTAGTGTGTGTGTTCTGCTCCCAGACAGGAGCCAAACCTGAGGCTCTCGGATTCTGTAGCACAAACCTAGTGATTATTGAGAGTACAAATGGAAAGAGAAGGCGGCATATGGGCGGCAGGGGAAGAAGGAAGGAACTTGTGGTATATGTGGAGAGCAGGCAGGGCCAGGGCATCCTTGTGACCTTTGATACTGGAGGACACCAGCCCTTGTTTGGCTGCACACGCAGCCCTGGCCTGCTGGTGGGGAGGACAGCAGTGCTGTAGCAGAGCTGACTGCTCTGGTTAGTGAGGGGCAAGGTAGAGCAGCCTGGTGCATGCTCCGTGAGTGTAGTGCATGGTCATTTGGTTTATGACGCCTCAGTGAATAATTATCCTTTCACTTAAGAGCAATTTCCATATTGCAGGATATACCTATAATTCTTATGAGTGTCCTAAGGACCTTGAGAAAACGTTTTATTTTAACTCAGCTTCTGACGTGCAGGGCCTTGGCCAATCATTGGTTATTATACAGTTGGGGCTATTTAACTAATCTTAATTCTGATTTGCCCCAACTTGTCTTCTGCCAGGTTGGTTTGTGTTGATTACACTCTCTTCTCCATGGTATCTATGGTCATGTTCTTACCTTGGCCTTCCCCTCACCCCTCCTCCTAGGGGCATCCTAAGTCTTCCTTATCCTGGGGTCCCAGCTCAGCTGTCACTGCCTCTGTGAAGCCATCCCTGACTTGTACCTTGTCAGCCTCCAACTCTCCAACCAAGAACGGCTCTCCCTCCTTAGTACATGGTCTGTCTTGCCTGTCCCACACGCGATCCGTACATGTGCATTCACACATGCGTGTGGCCCTCAGCATGTGGATGCCATGCAAGGAACCTCATGTCTGTCCTGAGGGCCCTGGCTTAGCACCCTTGTCCAGGGGGGTGTTCAGGGGGCATTCAGGGGGCATTCAGAGGACCACTGGTTGTGGGAACCCAGGATGGGTTTCTGCTAACTGAAGAGTTAGCCGGAAGGTGAGTCCACAGGGAACAAATCAGCTTCTCTTGGCAGGTGTGGACACTGCAAGAAACTCGCCCCTGAGTATGAGAAGGCTGCCAAGGAGCTCAGCAAGCGGTCGCCTCCGATTCCCCTGGCAAAAGTCGATGCCACCACAGAAACAGACCTGGCCAAGAGGTTTGACGTCTCTGGCTATCCCACCCTGAAAATTTTCCGCAAGGGAAGACCTTTTGACTACAACGGCCCACGAGAAAAATATGGTATGGGCACTTCCTTCTCTCCAGCCATGGTAGGGAAGGGAAGCTCGCTCAAAAGTTCTGGGACCCTGGTGCATGTAGGCAGGATGTGGGTATGGGAGGTGGGCAGTTCTAGAGGCCCCTCCTCAGGCGTGTGCTCTGCTCCCAGGGATTGTTGACTACATGGTCGAGCAGTCTGGACCTCCCTCGAAGGAGATTCTGTCCCTGAAGCAGGTCCAGGACTTCCTGAAGGATGGGGACGATGTCATCATCATTGGGGTCTTTAAGGGGGAGAGTGACCCAGCCTACCAACAGTATCAGGATGCTGGTGAGTAGTGTCCCTCTGGGCTAGACAAAACATGTGCACCCAAGCTGCCTGTGGTTGTTGGGCAATGTGCAGCTTCTGGGTAAAGCTCCTGAGACACACATCTAGGGGATGGTTTGCTGAGAGCATCGAGAGTGTCTGTGGGATTAAGCTGCTGGTTCTGCAGTGGGCTGGAGGTTGGTCCCTGTTGCCCTCATTACGCATGGATTGGAAGACCACACAGAAACTTGACTGGCTGGGCTGCACCATCCCTCCTGGCCTCTGCGACAACCTGTCTCCTTGTCTGCCTTTTAGGGCCCTTCCCGGAGCCCCCACTAGAGGGAAAGTCTCTGACCATAATGTGTAGTCTCTGAGTCAGGCATGGGTTTGAGTTCTGGCTCTGCCATTTATCAGAGCTATGACCACAGGCAGTGACTCAGTCCAGTGTTCTCACTCAAGAGGGTGATCTTTTGTACTTCAGAGGCTGGTAAATTAATTGAGATAGTAGATGAAGAGCTTAGTAAAGTGCCTGGTGATACTAAGTGCATAGGAAGTGCTAGTCTGAGTAGTGCTGGGTGTGGCAGGTGCTCCATCCACTGTCATCTCCCCTCTGGCTCCTGAGTGTCTCTGTTTAACAGAGGAGGAACTTGAAGCTCAGGGAATGTACTCGCCATCCCAGTAGCTGTAGGTGGGGAACGAAAGATGGTTGTCAGGGACACTCAGGATCCTCTCCGTCCTTAGCAGATTCTTCTGAGTGCCTTCACACACTAAAATGGCTTGGTTTTCTACTTCTCAGTACCGATTATAGTCTTTTAAATGTACTGCTTGCCTCTTAGTGCTGGTGTGTCCTGTACAATAAGAATGGTGCACATGTCAAATGCAGAGTAATGTAATAAAACATACAGTAGAGCTGATCCTTTCTTGTTTCCTTATCTATTCCTAGTCAGCTAGGAAGAAACTTGTAACGGGCCCATAGGCAGTAGTGGAGTCCCCAGCCCCAAATCCAGCTGCAGCTCTCATGTGGTTATATGCATGTAAATCCCCAGGGGATCTGTTGAGACATGGGTTCTGGGGCAGGCCTGGTCCCCACCCTGAAGGGGCTGGAGTCTGACACAGAACTAGGGCAGGGCCAGGACTGCAGTTGGGGAGAGAGTCCCTGGGCTGGTGTACCTGCTGGTTTTGAGAGCCTGGAAGGAGCCAGAGACAACCCCAGAGAGGCAGGGCATTTTGTGGCTCACCCAGGGGCAGAGCCGAAGGGACAGCTGGCAGGGTAGGTCTGCAGTTGTGTGTGCGCAGGGGGAGGGGGTTGTTCCTGAAGTGACTGTCTCCACCTGAGCCACTGAAAGCAAACACCTGGAGGCTTAGACTAGTTCAGAGTGTAGCATTCCAGGGCTTCCTAGACAGGTGGGTTGCTTTATTTCATCCTCCCCTTTCCTGTGAGGTAGACTTTGGTGTCTCTGTTTTACAAAGGAAGAACTTGAGGCTCGGGGAATGTTACTAACGTGCCTAAAGTTACAGTTAGTAGGTCATGAAATGATGATTTGGATCTAAGTCTGTCTGACTCTGAAAGCTATAACCTTGTCCAGGCTGCCCCTTCTGTCTCCATCTTCCCCCAAATAGGGTTTCCCATCTTTGCTGCGTGTGCCCTGTAACCCAGTCAGGAGCCCAAACCTTCAAACCTAGTGCCCTTGAGGGTGGGGTGTGGTGACATCTAGTGTTTAAATAACAGAATCAGCTCAGGATAGGTTTGGATACCTCGAGAGAGGAGTAGGATCCAGGGCAAGGGCTGACAAACCATGGCCCACCCCCATGTTTGCAAGTGAAATTCACCGGAATGCAGCCATATGTGTGTGTTCCCGCAGCAGAGTTAAGTGGTTGGGGTGAGCTGTGTGATTGGGTACTTCCCAGAAAGTTTTCTAAGGCTGATTGTAGAGAGTAGTCAGACAGTGGGGTTTCATCTTGGAGTTTTCACAACTTCAAATAAAAATCTAATGACTCGGCGCCTGTGGCTCAAGTGGCTAAGGTGCCAGCCATATACACCTAAGGTGGTGGGTTCAAATCCAGCCCAGGCCCGCCAAAACAACAATGACAGCTACAACCAAAAAATAGCCGGGCGTTGTGGCGGGTGCCTGTGGTCCCAGCTACTTGGGAGG